GAGAGAGAGAGAGAGAGAGAGAGAGAGAGAGAGAGAGAGAGAGAGAGAGAGAGAGTGAGTGAGTGAGTAAGTAATATTGAGATACAGAGACAAAGATAGTGACGGGGAGACTGAGTGAAAAAAATAGAGAGGGAAAAAGATAAAGGTAAGGGGGATCAGGAGAAAAAGAAAAAAAATGTTTAGTGAAAAACAAAGTAAATAAAGGTAGAGAGAAAGTGAGGTAGACTAAATTTGTGAATGTGTGTGTATGCGCGCGCGCGCGTATGTGTGAGAGAAAGAGAGAGAGATAGGAGAGAGGTAGTGAGAGGGACACAGAGCGAAAAAAATAGAGAGGGAAAAAGATAAGCGCAAAAGGAGGTGCAGGAGAAAAAGCGAAAAATATGTAGTGAAAAACAAAGTAAATAAAGGAATAGAGAAAGTGAGGTAGACTAAATTTGTGAATGTGTGTGTGTGTGAGATTGGTTGATTGAGTAAACGTTTTAACCACGCAAAATTAGGACTTTTCTTCCACTTAACGTGAATTGTACATTTCACATTATATAAACAATTTACGCAGACTCTCTTTTGGTCTTTACAATTTATTTTACAAATAGCATACAAGAAAAAACTATTTTTGATTTATAAATTTATAAAACAATACATATTTACGTATGTAAAAAATCCATGAATAACAATCAGAAGAAAAAAAGAAAAGATAAACAAAAAAATTTTAACAAGAATTTTTGATAGTGAGACATGACTTTAAATTATCGTATTAAACCAATTATTTTTTAATTTCGTTATAATTGTAATTATTTAGAGAATGCAAAAACGCATAATATAAAACAATATTAATTAATTTATGGATAATTATTAATTTATGATATTAATCAATTTATGAGAGAGTGAAAGTGAAAGAGAGAGAGAGAGAGTTAATGTTATTGAGAAAGAGAGAGAGCCACAATGATAGATTGATTGGTGGAATGTTGATCCAATTCCCCTCTATAAAATTAAAGTAGATATATAAAATTAATTTAAGTATCCGAAAAGTGCGTTAAAACGGACGAATTTTAATGATGAAGCTCTTAAAAAACCTGCTAGCCACGGTATTAACCAAATCCCAGTGGACTTAATTGAAAAAAAATTCCATGGGTCCTATTTATCTCGGAGCAGACGGGCCAACAATTAATAGAAAGTCCGAAGAGGTTCATGCCCCACAATGACAATGGCGTCAGGCCAAAATGTCCGTATCGCCAGATGGTGATGAGATAATCGAATAAATAATCAAACATCATCAGCCAATAAAGGCCATGCGTTTTTTTAAATTGGATTACCTCCTCGGACCGAGGTCTGGAAATTGTAAGACAAAGGAGAGTATTATTTCAAAAACAATGTCGACGGTGTCTGTTGTTTTGGGCCGAAATCACATTTTCCAATAGAGAGGAAATCGAAGGTTAAAACAACGAAGCCCGACCACATACTGTCAGTTTGATGAAACTTGCTACAAACAAGTCTTCTCTAACAAATTACTTTTTAAACTTATTTTTCTAATCTTCAAACCAAATGAAAACATCAATGGCAGCTTACTTGAAGTAACAACCACGCCACAAGAAGAAAATATAAAGCTAGATTCACCTAAAGAAGTAGCACAAGAAATTAAAAATCTACCTCCTAAAAAGACTCCAGGATATGACCTTATCACTGGAGAAATACTTAAAATACTAAAACAATTGCCAAAAAAGGGTATAGTTAAACGAACATACCTATTTAATGCTGAAATCAGACTGAAATATGTTCCCAGCATCTGGAAATTCACAGCAATAGACCAAATTCACCGAGTAACGGTTTTAATAGAAAAACTTCTTGAAGAAAAACAAACTTTTTTCTGCTATCTTCCTTGATGTCTCACAACCTTTTGGCCAGGTCTGGCACGAAGGACTCATCATTAAACTAAAAGGTATGCTACCAAAGCAGTATGTCGATATTATCAGTTCCTACCTAACTGAAAGACTATTTAGAGTCAAACAAGAAGATCAATATTCAAAATTAAAAACAATAAATGCAGGAGTGCCACAAGGTAGCATATTAGGTCCACTGCTTTACTTGTTATACACGAGTGATTTTCCGAAAATAGGTGGAGTAAAAATTGCAACGTTTGCAGAGGAACAGATATCACTAGGACCGACTATCATCCATTGAACCAAAATCCTCCAAACTGCATGTAATAAGATAAACGAATGGACAAAAAGATGGAAAATCAAGCTAAATCAGCATAAATCAGTTCATCTAATCTTTACAAACAAAAAAGTCGACCATATTCCGTCGCTCACAAATACCATACAGCAATACAGCTAAATATCTGGGACTGACCTTAGATGCCAAGCTGAGATGGAAAGAACACGTGAAGGAAAAAGGGACAGAAAAAAGTTCAATGTATAGACAACTGTACTGGTTGATAGGACGTGGCTCCAACCTTGCTATACAAAATAAAATTTTATTATATAAACAAATCATAAACCCTATGTGGACATATGGTATTCAACTATGGGGTTGTACCAAACACAGCAATATCATAATCATACAAACACTCCAAAATAAAATCTTACGTAACATGGTCAATGCACCTTGGTACATAAGGAATAAGGACTTACATAGGGATCTTAAGATAAATACAAAGATTTGCCGGCAAACACCAGGCTCGCCTCAGCCAGCACGAGAATGTGGAAGCGACCAAACTCTTACATAACCGAAACATGGTCAGAAGATTAAAAAGAACAAAGCCATATGAACTTGTGTAGTTAAAAATTAATAGTAAATAGTGAAATGTAAATCTTATTGTACCAATGGGTTTATAAGAATGTAAACATTTATTTATTCTATAATATTATTGTAAAATTAATGGTTGGTCTAAAAAGACCTAGTTTTAATAAATAATTATTTATTTAGAAATCGTGAGATGCGGTCTGGTGTAAAGTAGGTTTAAGAAATTTTTTTTTTATCGTGCCAACGTTTCGATCTTTTTGGGCGAGGGCACTCTGGAAACGACACGCAAGAATGGCACAATTACACAGAAGACAAACACTTTGAGCCCTGAAGATGATCTCAATAAAGATCGAAACGTTGGGACGATAAAGAAAATGATTTTCTGAAACTTACATCACACCAGACTGCATCTTACGATTTCTAAATAAATATTGATTAACGGGCACTAATCACCACACACTTTAATAAATAAAATTAATTAAGAAAAAAACTTATTTTTCTAGATCTTTTATTAAAATAAATAAGATAAAACAGTCAGCCCGTTGTTTGTACACTGATTCTTGACAACAGAAGCAACAACGAATCATTATATAATTTATTATTTTTCTTATTTGAATTATTT